GAAAGTATGTAGAAAACACCTCCAATTCTTAATAATTTGTGCTAGTGGGAGTATAGAAGTGCTTGAATGAACGTAAGGGCTATGTGCATATGGTTTGTGGCAAGTGAATTGGTTAAGAAGAATATGTGTTTGAGTTGTGAGTGTAGTGTATTAAAGTGCTTAGGAGGGTTAGTCACTATTCCTAAATATATCCTACCCGTCCATTAGCCTACATTACAACCTTAAAAATCCTAATTGATCCTAGACTTGGCTAGCTTAAATTACTAGATATATACACTACGGGCAAGCTTATGGTATGACCACGGGATGCATATGAATTCTTTGTGAGAGTGAGCGAATTTTGTTCAATTGTGTGATGTCCTTAATTTATATTGAAAAGCACATTTAAATGTGTGGACTAGTACATTTTCACTCTTTTGTTTGTAGCGAGGGCACATGATCTCATGAACGATTGGTAATGTTGTAAACTTTCTTGTTGGGTAAGTGCATGAGTTGAGGGTGCTTAGTGGTTGCAAGTCGGCTTTTGAGGTTGGGTGGTGACAAATAGGTTGTTGGAATTGATTTATTTGAAATGTTATACTTGGGCATGCTTAAAGGGGAAGAATGTGAAATTTTGTGTGTTCATGCTTGTGTGTCGGTATTGATCATAGTCAAGGGTATAGTGTGTGGTTAAAAGTTAAAGTGCTCCTCTATAATTGATACTTGTACATAGTTGGGGGGTTTATTAGATAGTCCCATTGCTCGAGGACGAGCAAGAGTCTAAGTGTGTGATGTTGATGTTTAGCTTAAAGTATATATATTCGCATGTATATCGCCTCATATGTTACTTTTGTTTCGTGGATTTAGGATGTGAAATGTATTGATTTGTGTTAATTTGATGTGTTTTTATGTGTAGGAATGATCCGAGAGCAATTGGGGGCGAAACGTGCAAAATTAGAGCCAAAACGAACGAAATCGGAGATTGCAAATTTGGGCGCCACCTGTGGCGCCAAAAACAGTATACTCTTAATTGGAGCGCCGTGGAGGGCGCCTAGCTCTAGCCAGGGCGCCGGTGACGGGAATTTTGTCCAACTTTGCCCGGGAAAAGGTTATTTCGGCCCTAGACCTACCCAATACGTGTAAAAGCAAGGCTAAACATATTTTTTGAAGAGAGGACGCCACTTTAGAGAGATCTAACATACTTTGAAGGAGAATTCACGTGGGGGAACACACACCACGCTTGGAGGAGGCTTCTAACTAGTTTTTCTTCTCTTCTCTTCCTTTAATCTCATAGTTTATTAGTTCTAGAGTTGTTGGGTCCTACATGAACGTTGTAGTTTGAAGCTTGAATTGTTCTTATAATTTTATCATATTGGTTTATTTAGTCAATCTTGCGCTTAATTATTTGATTGCTTGATCATCGATTGAATACTATCTACGAATCTAGGATTGAACTCGGGAGAGGGAATTCTAGATTGCATATAAGATTGAGTAGAGCAAGATCTTAACTCTTAGGGGGAGCAGATTTGCGGTTAGGATAGGAATATACCTAATCGCCTTGCTTGGTTATTATACGGGAATTATAAATGCGTTCTTGTTAATCCTAATTCCATAGGAATATAGGCGTTAGGTTAGCTTGAATAGGCGAGTTGTACTTCGGGAGAAGGCTACGAGCAATATTAACCCCGTCAATCAATAAACTAGATAAATTAATTGGACAATTTAGGTAAAAAAGCTCAACGGGATTGTTAGCTAACCCATAGCTCTAGAATATTCACTCACATTGAATTCGTCTTTAAGCTTGTCGTTGTTTTCTTTAATCTCTTAATTTGTTACTCTAGATTAGCTTTAGTTAAATATTCGTACTTTGGAATTCACTTGAATAGATTGATTGTTTGGTTTAGTTTAGTTGATAGTTAATCACAAGTCCCTGTGGGTACGATATCTGGACTTACAATCCTATATTACTTGTCGATCACGTATACTTGCATGTGCGTTTGGGAGCAACAAGTTTTTGGCGCCGTTGTCGGGGACTTAGAAATTAACTATTTTACTAGATTAGATTTTTACTTTTTATCTATTTAAGTTTTTAATTTTATTTTAGTGTAGTTAGTATTATATCTTTTTTACATGGCATCTTTGAAAGAAAAGTGGTGGGATAGTAAGTATTCTTGTTTTTGTCATCCTTGTCCATATTGTAAAGGACCCCACTTGTGGCAATATGTAAAAATAGTCCTAGTACCGAGTTGTGTGCACCATCTCCATCATGTACTATTTGTGATGGAAATTGGAATAATTGTCCTAAGTGTTGTTATCCTACTCCAATCCCTTCTTATGTTGATTCTAATAATTCTTGTGAGTTTAACAGGAGTAACGAATTGGATGATGGAGAACACGATGTTCGCATTCTTGATATGCACGAGAAATTATTAGAGGAATATGGAGGTTTTCGTGAGACTAAACTTCTTGATCCTTGATGTAGGAAGCCTGAAAGCAAGCACTTCTTGATCCTTTGAAGACTAAACTTCAGAGACTATTTTTACACCAAATACTAGCACTTCAATTCATTGTGTGCTGGTTTCTATGATTTTTTAAAAGTTAGCTGCAGGATCTGATTTTTCTGTTTCAGTTTTGAACATGCTTCACGAATTTTAATCTTCTTCCTCAATTCCTTTTGTGCAGCGTATACAACCTTGAGTTCCGGCAATCAAGATGCAATTTCGTGACCATGACAAGTCGCACCCTCATCTTGAACTCACGAGCGACGAGCAAAATCAGTCCGATAAAGTTCTCACCTTGGAAGTTCATCCTCCAGTGATCGGTTCCTTCCCTCTTGTTAGAAAGCTGCCTGCCGCATCTCTTCATCTTACAGAATGGTGGACAAGGGAGGCCAAAGATGTTATGGGCGAATTTTCGGGCGAGGTCACTAACATGAAGGTCCCTATTTTGAAGTCTGCAATTCATCAGGAAGTCGCGCAGTCTGATTTCTCATCGTGATTGACGCTTACACACTTGGAATGTTCCCCCTCCTGGCTTTGGCAAGGTTCGCTACACACCCGGCTACTGGGAGTGGGTAGATGATGTGCTCCCCCGCCACAAAAATTTTTTGGAAGATCTGAAGGTCTACGATGCCATATACGCTTCATTGTTTACATACGATTATAACGACAACGTGCTTCAGGCCTTTTGTGAGCTTTGGCGTCCTTCCACCAACACACCTGCTACCTTCATTGGAGAATTATCTATATCTTTGTGGGACCTGCGAACCATTGGAGGCCTTCCCGTGCATGGATCCTTTTATGACGAAGTGGTTCCTTCGGCGAAGGAGTTGACAGAAATGGACCATCAAGCGAAGCCATTCCTCCTAAAAAGCTGCTTATACTTGTTTTCAGCGTTCCACGGATTTACAAAAGGGGAATTTCATGAGTTCTCCGTCCATGATTGGGTGGGGTTCTGGTTTAGAGGGCCGAGCAGGTATGCCGAGCCTCCGCAAAAGACGTCAAAGGTGCGGACCACCAAGCCGAGGCAGAATCATAATCCTTCGGGACGTATAGACAAAACCTTCCTACCACGAACAAACGAGGAGAATGCCCCCTTTATCGAGCTAGGTGTGGAGGATTCTCTTATAAATAAGACTAACTTGGCGGCTTTCCTTGCATGTTGGCTCTGTAAGTTTGTGCTTCCAAATAAGAAGGTTGACCACGTTCGTGCTAGTGTTTTCAAAGTTGCAAGCATAATGGCTCATGGAGTAAAATTCTCTTTAGCAATCCCGGTCCTTGCGAGCATATATCGTGGCTTGAGGGAGATCTCCACTTCCAACGACATGATTGCAAGTGATGTAATTTTTCCCATACACTATGTGTATGGCTGGATGGGAGAGTATTTTGAGACCCACCATCGTGTTAATCACACGCACCGAAGTTTACCCTTATGCAAAATTTCGGGCGAGAAGATGGCTAAATATTCCAACCTTTCTGATGCTCGAAGGTTGTTCCAACGTGATGATGCCCGTCAACTCCACCATTTGGCATTGCTGCGAGGCAAAGAGTTACACTTTACAGACAATGGCAAACTTTCTGATTCATTCAGCGAATTTTTTATATCTCTTCGCTCTAGCTATCTCACCCTTAGGCATGATACTAGTTTTATTGTGGAGTCCTACAGCCCTCACAGGTTTAGTAGGCAATTTAGTTTTTGCCAAGACATCCTTGGAGATCTTATGGAGCAGCCCTATGATGGTACGTTGCAGGCACTAGTGCAACTTTGGGATTCATCCACACGTCTTGGCACCTCCTCGAGATTCATTGTGCCACTACGTCTGGTAAACGATGTGCCTTTAATGAGTCGTGAGTACATAGACTGGTGGCCAATACATCGACTAGATCCTTCAAAAAGGTGCCCTCATATTGTTTTGAAAAGTTCAAGGCAAGATTGTTAAGAACTAATTATTTGTACTAATTAGTTAGTTAGAAGTTAGTGGAGTCATTAGTTAGTTATGACAGCTGTACCAATCAGCTTAGTAGTTAGCAAGGTAGTTAGTGGTTAGTCGACTTAGTCTTAGCTTGGTTGCACAATTGTATATAGTGGAGGTTCCACTCACTTTTCTTTTCTCAATCAATTCAATTGCAATGTTCTGGAATCTTCTCCCATCTTCTTCTCTCTCTCTCTCTCTCTGAGCTCTCATGGCACGAAGGTCACAGCTCCATCACCATTGAAGCTCAACTTCAAGTAGCAGTAAAGCTTCAGTTACTGTTCCATTGGATAATTCTGATATGGTATCAGAGCAAGGAGCATCGATTTTGGACTCTCTTCACAAAGTTTGCTAGTTCTACTTCTGCTGCTGACCTTTTGAACTAGATCGCACACATGCAAATTCATTTCTCCATTGATTTCGAGCTATTGTTCTGAGGACAGGTTTTTGTTCTTACTTTTGGTCTGTAATTGTTTGAGAATTGCTGCTAATTCCTAATCACCATATTTTCTAGCCATCAAACCTCTTAGAAATTCTGTAGATCACAAATATGACTATTGGTGAGAATGATAATCAATCAACACCAACTGTGAATGAGTCTCTCAACCAGTCAGGGGTTGATACCAGTAGTCCCTTGTATATGCATCCATCCGATAATCCTGGGACAGCTTTAGTTCCCGCTCCATTCGATGGTTTTGGTTATCGATCATGGAGAAGAGGTGTGATGCGAGCATTATCTGTGAAGAATAAGTTGGGATTTATCAACGGAGAGTGCAAAAGACCAGATCTAGATTCATCAAAATTCCGCCTATGGGAAATGTGTGATGATATGGTCACATCATGGATCCTGAACTCTTTGACCAAGGAAATTGCAGATAGTGTTGAATATGTAGCTGATGTATTCGAATTGTGGAGAGAACTTGAGGATCGGTATGACCAAACAAATGGGACAAAGCTGTACCAAATTCAGAAGGAGATCAATGATCTATCTCAAGGATCCCTTGATATCACTAGTTATTACATGAAAATGAAAAAGTTATGGGAGGAACTTAATACCTTGATTGCCAAATCTCATTGCACTTGCAATTGTTTATGTGGAGCTAAGGAAAGTATGCATAAGGCTGAACAGGATAGGAGACTCATACAATTCCTTATGGGATTGAATGAGACATACACTGTTGTTCGAGGCAGCATATTGATGATGAATCCTCTTCCCTCAATTGCTCAAGCATTTTCTCTGTTAATCCAAGAGGAAAGGCAGAGGGAAATTAATCCAAGTATCCATTTAGCACTGGAGTCATTAGCCTTGAATGCTAACACAATCAGACCTAGGACATTCAGAACAAATTACTCTCCCAACAACAATCACAACAACAGGAATAGACCTTTCTGTGACTATTGTAAGAGGCCAGGACACACCAAAGAAAAATGTTACAAACTTCATGGATACCCACAGAACTTTGGCCACAATCAAAATCTAAACACAGGTCAAAGCAATTTCAATCAAAATGCTAGGCAGAATCCCAACTATTATTACAACTCAAACAACAACAACAGTAACAGATTCAGTAAAGGCAATAGAACATTGGCTAATGCACATGTAGCAACTACTGACATCAACTTGCAGAGAATGAGAAGTATGCCAGTCATGACAATGCTCAGAATGTTAGTCTTACCCAAGAAGGGTACAGCCAGTTGGTGAGCCTGCTACAACAGTTTCAGTCAGCAGGAATAGGAGACCATGAAGTTGGAGCCAATGCTACTTCAGGAGCAACAAACTTTGCAGGTATGATAGCTTGCACTTCCTCAATTGACTTTAGTAAACTCTCATGTGAATGTTTCAAGAACAAAGTTGATTCATGGATTATAGATTCAGGAGCATCAAATAACATGACTTTCAACAGATCCTTATTAACCAACATAACAAACTTACCTTATCCCATGTTAGTCATACTTCCAAATGGCTACAAAGTAAAGGTGACAGAAATTGGTAGTGTGATTCTCATCTCTAAGATCACTCTAGATAAAGTGATGTATGTTCCCACTTTCAGATACAATTTAATCTCTGTTCACTCTTTAACCTCTCATCTTAACTGTCTTGTTGCCTTTTTCAAACTTTTCTGTATATTGCAGGCTTCAATGAAGAGGCCTATGGTGATTGGTAAAGTGAGAGATGGGTTGTACATCCTATGCCCAAGTTGTTTGAAGAAGAACAATGCAAGCCCTGCAGAAAAGGACAATCACATACTACCTACCATTTCTGCTTGTTGCACTTGTAACACACACTGTCCCTCTCATTCTACTGTAGATATACCAGTTCATACCAATAAGTGTGTGTCTTTTCCAATTTTAAGTAATTCATGTGCAAGTGCTAAAGAACAAACTTCTTTTGCAAGTCCATCTTCTGAATTACCTAGCATATTGTCTCATTCTTGGGCTGAAAATAATGTGAATGTGTTGTGGCATAATAGACTTGGACATGTCCCCTTTGTCAAAATGAAGAAGATTACCTCCATACCTACTAACTTCTCCCCCAAACAACCTTTTAACTGCACCATTTGTCCAATGGCTACATTTTCTCAGAAAACCAGCACAACTAACAAAATCTTTGAACTTTTACATGTTGATCTGTGGGGTCCATATCATGTCCCTACACATGATAGACATAAATATTTTATCACCATAGTGGATGATTATAGCAGGTCCACTTGGACTCACCTCTTATCCAGTAAAAGTAATGTCATTGAGATACTCAAAAATTTCATGAATCTGGTGGAGAACCAGTTTGGTGTAACCATCAAGTCCATAAGGTCAGATAATGGACTGGAGTTTACTAGTAGAGAAGCAACTGTTGTTCCAATCTAAAGGGATCATTCATCAAAGAACTTGTCCCCACACACCACAGCAGAATGGTGTGGTGGAGAGAAAGCACAAATACCTCCTTGAAACAGCCAGAGCCCTCCTTTTTCAATCCAAGCTACCTCTAAGATATTGGGGTGAATGTGTCCTTTGTGCCACTTGTATAATAAACAGATTGCCATCCAATTCTATCAGCAATAAGACACCATATGAATTACTATACAGAAAAAGGCCAAAGTATTCCCACATTAAGAGCTTTGGTTGCCTATGTTATCCTACTGTGCAATGCCACATAGGGACAAGTTCAATCCCAGAACAACACCTAATGTCTTTGTTGGATATCCTTTCAACACAAAGGGGTACAAAGTTCTAAGTCTAGCCACTAGAAAAATTCATATTTCCAGAGATGTGGTGTTTAATGAGTCCATTTTTCCTTTTAGTGTTAGTATGAACAAATCTTCTAAATCACCTGTCCCTTATCCAATTCCTTTCATTGAATCTCTAAGTGAACAACCTCCTGAGAATACAAATATCACACAGAACCCTGAAGTCTTGAATGATCAAAGGAGTGTAGACGGCACATCTGTTTCTATGTCACCTATGCATGTAGCTAGTCCTTCACCTTCTGGAACACCTAGTTCTTCACCACCTAGTGTATTATCACAACATAACACTGAACAGACCAATGTAGCACAAATTCATCCAACAAGACAGTCACACAGAGCTCACAAACTTCCCACATACCTACAGGACTATGTCCATTCCCTACCTCAACTTAAAACTACTTCCCTAAATGCTTTGTTCTCTGTGAATCACCATATTGCCTCTGATCTACTAACTCCTGATAGTCAGACTCTTGTGAGAAATATTTGTCATGACAGGGAACCATCATCATATGAGGAAGCAGCCATTGATCCTGCTTGGCAAGCTGCTATGACACAGGAATTTGATGCATTACACTCTAATCACACTTGGGATTTAGTGATGCTACCACCTGGGAAGCAAGCAATTGGTTGTAAGTGGGTGTATAAGGTGAAACACAAAGCAGATGGCAACATTGAGAGGTTCAAAGCCAGGTTGGTTGTCAAAGGTTACACTCAACAAGCAGGAATAGACTATACAGAAACTTTCTCACCAGTTGTAAAAATGACAACAGTCAGGGCCTTAATAGCTAAAGTAGTTAAGAAGGGATGGTCCATCTCACAGTTGGATGTGAATAATGCTTTTCTACATGGGGATCTCAATGAAGAAGTATATATGCAGATACCACCTGGGTTGGTAACAGACAAGCCAGGTATAGTCTGCAATCTGAACAAATCTCTCTATGGTCTGAAACAAGCAAGTAGACAATGGTATGCAAAACTAACTGAGGCACTATGCTCAAGGGGATACACACACTCCATGTATGATTATTCACTTTTCTATAAAAGGAATGGAAATACATCAGTATATGTTGTTGTATATGTGGATGATGTGTTATTAACTGGGACTGATCAGCAAGAGATTGCACAACTCAAGAGTTTCCTACATGAGCAGTTCAAGATCAAGGATCTACGACAACTTCATTATTTCCTGGGACTGGAAATTATGTATAAGGATGATGGGGCCATTATATCACAAAGGAAATTTGTGTTAGATCTGATGAAGGAGTATAATTGTCTAGAACACAAGGCTTGCTCTTCACCTTTGGACCCTACTGTAAAACTAAAGGCCAAGGAGGGAACAATACTACAGGATCCCACTTACTACAGGAAGTTAGTAGGCAAACTAAATTTCCTAACCAACACCAGATTGGACATAGCATATAGTGTTCAACACTTAAGCCAGTTTATGCAGGAGCCCAGAGAACCTCACCTGAAGGCAGCATTTCACTTGTTGACATACCTAAAGAATGATCCTACCTCGGGAATTTTCATGTGAAAGGATGGGGACCATACAGTCAAAGCTTATTATGATTCTGATTGGGCAGCTTGCCCAGACTCTAGGAGGTCCATCACAGGCTGTCTGGTCTTGTTGGGCAACAGTCCCATTAGTAGGAAGTCTAAGAAGCAGGAGACTATATCACTTTCTTCTGCAGAAGCAGAATATAGAGCTTTGAGAAAGGTTGTGGGAGAGCTAGTATGGCTACGCAGGCTGTTTGAAGAGCTGATTGTCCTATTTTCTTTGCCCATTTCAGTCTTCTGTGATAGCCAGTCTGCATTGCATATTGCAAGGAATCTAGTATTCCACGAAAGGACCAAGCATATAGAAGCGATTGTCATTTTGTGCGTGATCAACTACAAGCAGGCTTGATTTCCCTCCATCATATCAGAATAGACAACCAGATCGCAGATGTTCTAAGTAAAGCCTTGACAGGGATTAAACAAAATGCTACGTTAGACAAGCTGGTTGTGTTGACTACACCTCCAACTTGAGGGGGGTGTTAGGAACTAATTATTTGTACTAATTAGTTAGTTAGAAGTTAGTGGAGTCATTAGTTAGTTATGACAGCTGTACCAATCAGCTTAGTAGTTAGCAAGGTAGTTAGTGGTTAGTTGACTTAGTCTTAGCTTGGTTGCACAATTGTATATAGTGGAGGTTCCACTCACTTTTCTTTTCTCAATCAATTCAATTACAATGTTCTAGAATCTTCTCCCATCTTCTTCTCTCTCTCTCTCTCTCTCTCTGAGATCTCATGGCACGAAGGTCACAGCTCCATCACCATTGAAGCTCAACTTCAAGTAGCAGTAAAGCTTCAGTTACTGTTCCATTGGATAATTCTGATAAAGATCAAGTGCATGTACGATCCAAAGTGGTCCCGAGTCGACTGAAAGTAAAGCTACCTTCTCCTTCTTCCAAGTCTGAGACGAAGTCAAATGACCTTCCGCAAGCAGCCCAGACCCTTTTCAAGTCCAAAGTCGTGAAGGATGTGGATGCACCGGCAAAAAAGAAAGTTAGGCGACTTTCATTGGCCTTGAAGACAACTACTACTGCCCCCAAGGTATCCATCGACTCTTGCAAAAGGAAGGAGCGCCTAGTTCGTCAAACCAGGATAGTGATAGAGAACCCAGCCTTGTGCCACTTTGTGAATAGAAAAATCATCTTCCCGTTTCGCTAGATGGTATTGGAGACACTACTGCAGCTTCTAGTCCAGTAGAGAGTGAATCTTGCGAAGACCACCATTAGAACCGTCCGAACAAGAAGGCGAAGGAGTTGGGTAACGACTCTTTCGTCACTGCTGCCTTAGATACCATCATTATTGAGGATGATGCCTTTGTGGATGAGGATATGGGCCTAACAATGCCATTCCCTGAATTGCCAGAACAAGTAGAGTTCTTCTTGTTTGTATTCCTGTTACTTTATTTTTTTCCCCCTTTTTTTTGAATACTAACAGCTTTCAGCTTTTTTTAGTCAGATCTTCAAGAATTATGCAATTATGAGCTTAGGGATGACATTATTGAGGATTGCTTTGCCAACATAGATGATCTTGGTATGAACGCAAAGAGCTCCCACAAATCACCAAATGGTTCTAAGGATCATGGTGTGGGTGGAGCCTCTTCGGTGGAGTTAATTCCACCTAGAAAGCCATATTCTTCTTCTCTGGTTCATAGAAAGTTTATCCAACCAGCTGTGACGAGTGAAGCTGTGGCTGCTACAACTGAAGTCATGGACCCGAAATCGTTCAGGCCTTCCTCATGGCCATTGCAGCCTGGTGCTTCAAGCAAAGAGCCGCATGGGACTATTTGTCGTGCCAAATCAACTTTTGTTTCTGTGATGTGGCGTGGATTGTGCGAGTGGATCAAAGAGTTCTCTGTAGATTCCACGGACAACTTTATGAAGTTGGAGGAAAGTATTAGTTTGACTCTTACGGAAATACGAAGAGAGAATATCATTGATATTTCTACTTTGGAGGATCTTGTTGAATCTTTCTTCAAGACTTATGCAGAGTATGATGCTTTAAGATCGTCCAAGATGAGTAAAGAATTGCACCAAGATTCAATCTCTAATGCGCAACAACGCCTCAATGATGCGAAGTTGGAATATGGAAAGGCAAATGAGTCAGCTGAAAGACTTCGAGTGGCTCTTGCGACTGTCGAGACACAATTAGCAGCCCTGACCTCTAAAAAGAAGAAGATCATCGTGCTCCTGGACAAACAACAAGAGAAGCTATCCAAAAGTCAAAAGGAAATCACCGTTACCGAAGGCTAGGTTTATACCATTGAGGCGAACGTTCCGTTGTCGGATGATGAAGCGGAGAAACTGTCCCTCTTAAAAGATTCAGTTAAAACGAGTCTCCAGCAAATCCTTAGCTTCAAACCTTTTCCACAGCTGTAGATTTTTTCTTTTTTTTTATTTAGGATCCCCTGCCTCTTTCTTTTTTTTTTTTAGACAGATATCATGTATTGATATTTCTTTTCTTAGAGCAACAAAAGTACTTTTTTTTATTTGCACTGTCTCATTGAATTTTGAGTTTCCTGTGAGTTATGGCATGGATGAATTATACGGATATATCGAGGTTAATCGAGATAAACTAACTGGTGTCATAGTTCTGAAACAGTTTATTTCTAAAACATATGACACTCAGATTCTTTGCTTGGCCGATTCTCCGTCTTTACACTTTTGTATAATTCCCATTTTTGGTGTGTTGCTGGTCAGAGTTGCACCCTGTGTTTGTTAATCGCTGCTTCCTGATGCTGCTAAGAAAGGTCGTTGAACGACCAAAGTTTCTTTTTCAGATTCTTTGCTCCGTTGTTGGAGACATGCCGAATGGAACGCTGCTGCACTTTTTAGCGTCGCAATACTTAAGCTCGATCGGCTATGTTTACTGCACAATGGTAAGTTATTTGCCGATAGTGTTCAAAGTTGATGCGCTGCTTTAATTATGCTTCTCAGAAGAATTCCCTTTGTTTTTTGGTTCAATTTCCACTACGTTGGAAAAGCCGTTTTTTTTTGTTGCAGCCATCTACTCATGGAGACTTCAGTCGAATGACCATTCCCAAACGCGAGCCATGGACTCCATTCAGTGA